GCTTCATTTTTAGTTATTGGTTTTGCTTTTAAGTGATGAATAGATAATGCAGGAGTGTATTTAAATTTATCTTCATGGGGCCGGAGAGATGGCTCAGTGGAATAAGCGCTTCCCTGGCAAGCTCAAGGGCCTCAGTTCAATCCCCGGTTCTGCTAAATAAATAAATAAATAAATAAATAAATAAATAAATAAATAAATAAATAAAATAATAAACGTGTCTTCTTTCCAGGACCTGGTGTGGTCCCTGTAATTCCAGTACTCAGGAGGCTGAGGCAGAAGGACCCCTGAGATTTCAGGCAGGGAAGTTGAGGTCAACATAGTGAGCTCAAGTTCAGAGAGCAAAACCCTGTCTCTAAACTAGACTAGGGCTGGTGAGATGGCTCAGTGGTCTAAAGCACCTACTTAGAACAAGCTAAGCTAACCAAAAGGAGAGGAACTGCGGTTCAATCCCCAGCACCACATGCCAGCCAACCCCGCCCCCTGGTGGGCTGAGCTGGCCACACACTAAATAAATAAATAAATAAATAAATAAAATTCAAAAAATAAATAAATAAACTAGACTAGACTTTAAAATAAACTAAAATACTAAATTTTCCTTCCAGATGCTTTTCCCAGTCACATTAAATAGTCCCCACATTAGGGCAGGGGAGATAGCGCCGCCATAAGCGCCTGTCTGGCCAGCTCAAGGTCCTGAGTTGGATCCCTGGTACCGCTAAATAAATAAATAATCCCCACCATAAACGGGGTGTGGGTGGTGCACACTTGTAGTCCCAACACTCGGGAGGCTGAGGCAGGAGGATCGTTGTGGGTTCAAGACCAGCCTGGGCTACAAAGTGAGCTCAAGTCCAGCCTGGGCTGCATAGCCAGACCCTGTCTCAAAAAGACACACCCCCAAAAGTCCCTGCTTGCTCTCAGAAATAATTTTTTATTTACGCTATGAAATCCTCGCTCGGCGACGTTCGCAGGGAGGCGTCCTCGTCAGCAGAGGGCGCCAGAGGACCGCGTCTCGCTGCGTGAGCGCTCTGGGGCGGGAGCCCAGGCCCGGACAGAGAGGAGTGCGGAGTGCGTCGGGTCGGTGGGAAGCACCCGGCTGCGGAGGTCAAGCGCTTGTTGAAGGACCGGAGACACGGATTAGGGGTCGTCGCGGCTTGCCCGGCCTTGAGCTGGCCTGCGATCCGGCCGGGGGCTGCCTGTGTGATCTCCGCCCGCGTACCGCAGCCGCGGGCGACGACAAGCAGGGATTAAGCGGCGGTAAATGGCTCGCGCCTCCCAATCGCTCCGCCCGCCCGGGCGCAGGTGCACGACCAGGGAAGGCGAGGCCCGGATGCGATGCGCAGTGGTGCTTCCAACAAGTAGAGGCCGCGGGGCTCCTTTTCCACCTCCTGCTCCCCAGGAGTGAGGAGTCATCTACTCTCCACGCCCGGGGAAAATGAGGCCCAGAGAGGCTCAGTGACTCTCGCAGGGTGACCCAGCCGGAAGAGGTGGAGTCACGCACTTGTACCTGCAGGAGCCGTGGCCACTTGCTTAGCAGATGAGAGTAGGGCCCTGGAATGACCACGGGCGCCGCGGAGCGGGTGGGGTTCCGCTGTGGCTGAGTTCCCGAGAACCTCCCCCCAATCCCCGGGTTTGGTGCCATATGCCTTAGTCCCAGCACCAAGGAGGCTGAGGCAGAAGGATCACCACAAGTTCGAGGCCAGCCTAAATTACACAGTGAGACTGTCACAACAAAAAACGAGACAAAACAGGGCTGGAGAGATAGTTTAGTAGAATAAGCCCCTGCCTGGCAAGTGCAAGGTCCTGAGTTCAATCCCCGGTACCGCAAAAAAAAAAAAAAAGTAAAATACAAGTTTGTGTGGTGCTGGAGATGGAGCCCACCCTCGTGCGTGGTGAATATACCGTATACCATAACTACCACAGGGAGTCGAGTTGCATCTGTACTACCTTTTAAAAAACGTAACAGTCAGGCTCCCTGGGGCAAGGCCTGTAATCCCATCAATCTGGGCCTGCGGAGCACAAAGATGAGAAGCTGAGCCCGCCCGGCGCAGTTAAGCCGGTCAGTGAAGCCCAAGTGCAAGGTCCTTAGTTTGATCCCTGGTATGGAGAGAAAAGAAAAGGTGTGTGCTAAGTGTTCAAATGAGGGCTGTGTGCCCCAGCAGGCTTTTTTCTTCCTTCCTTCCTCCTCCTCCTCCACAGTCCCCTCCCCCCATGGTTTTTGTCTTTTTTTTTTTTTTTTTTTTTTTGTGGAACCGGGGATTGAACTCAGACCCTTGCGCTTGCCAGGGAAGCGCTTATTCCACTGAGCCACCTCCCCCACCCCTAAAGAAGTGAGCTAAGGGGCAGGCCCCTGCTCATTTATGACTTCTTTTGCTCAACTTTTTTTTTTTTTTTTTTGGTGGCAGCAGTAGTAATAGTAGAGACTGAACACAAGGGCTTTACACTGAGTTACATCCCTAGCCATTTCTTTATTTATTTAGAGACGGGCTTACTAAATTGCTAAGTTGCCTAGGCTGGGCTACAATTTGTGATCATCTTGTCTCAGCATCCCAAGTGCTGGGATTACAGGCGTATGCCACCCTGCCTGGCTCCAGTTCATTTTCATTTGAGACAGTCTTGCTAAATTGCCCAAGCTCCCAAGGAGCTATGATCACAGGTGTTTGCTGCTGTCCCTTGTCTGCTCTTAGGGGAGTAAGAGTGCAATGCCTGCTCTTATTAGGGCGCTCTCTCTCTCTCTCTCTCTCTCTCTCTCTCTCTCTCTCTCTCTCTCTCTCTTTCGTGGAATCAGGGATTGAACTCAGCCCTTGCCAGCCCCTAGGGCTGCCTTTAGAGCTGGGCATCAATTCGTAGAACCAGCAGAGGGTTGGAAAGTGCTAATCCAGAAGACCCACCCCTGGTAATTAAATCAGAGTGTGGATGAGGCCAGCTCCCTGTTTTTGGAATGTGCCTCAGGCTGAGAGCCCCTGGGCTGGTGTGTGTGTGGGGGGTCCCCTGCCACTGACTGATGTTAAACCTTCCCAAATGGCCTTGCCTGTCCACCCTCACACCAGCCCTCACACCCTCATCAACACTTGATATTGACCAAATTTTTACTTTTTGTCCTCCTGAGGGTGTGAAATGGTATTTCACTGTGGTTTTAATTTGCATTTGTCTCCAATGCTGGGAGGTTGGTGAAAGGCTGCCTGAACAGAGAAAAAAAGAAGTCAGCCAAGGGGAGACCTGGAAGAGACACCTGGGGGGAAGAGGCGGAGCGGCAGGTGCCAAGGTCCTGTGGTGGGAGCCACTGCGATGCAGGAGGAACAGAAAGGGGAGAGAGAGAGAGAGAGAGAGAGAGAGAGAGAGAGAGAGAGAGAGAGAGAGAGCGCTCAAGACAAGGTTAAATTGGGCGTGGTGGTTCAAGCCTGTAATCCCTGCACTTGAGAGAGCAGAGGTAGGAGGACCCTTGTGAGTTTGAAACCAGCCTGGACTACAAAGTGAGTTTAAGGCCAGCCTGAACTGCATAGCGAGACCCTGTCTATAAAAGACAAGGTCTAGGGGCCGGGGAGATGGCTCAGTAGAATAAGTGCTTCCCTGGCAAACGTAAGGGCCTGAGTTCAATCCCCGGTTCCGCCAAAGGAAAAAAAAAAGACAAGGTCCGAAGGAGTCAGGAACCTGGGAGGGTCTGAGTTGTGGGCGTCCTCTGTCCTTTCCACTTCAAGTGGAGACTGCGACTGAACCATAAGGGCTGTGTGACCCACAGTGCACCTCTGCACCCCGGAGAACGAGGGGAGGTGTTTCTGTTCACAGTTGATATCCCCAGCATCTAGTGACCCTAACAGGCAACAGTCGGGGTTTTCACAGCCCTAGCTTCGCAGGTGAGAGCCAGGACGGAGGCTTGTGGGCTCCGAGGTATCTCAGACATTTGCGCAGATGCTCCAGAGAAGTGAGGTCCGCCTCAGTGCTGCCCTTGCTGCTTCGCCCGCAGGGGTCCTTTCCAGCGACTCTATCCGGGTTTCTCCGCAGCTGAAAACCCTTCCGTGGCTCCCTAGCCAAAGTTCAAACTTGTCTGAGCAAAGCTGAGCCCTCCCGGCCTGCCCATCCGCCCCCAGCCGAGAGCTGCTCGCAGGGCTCCGAAGTGGTTCCAGCTTTTGACCTCGGCCTTTCCCCTTGATGTGTCCACACTTCCTCTGGGAAGTCGCACCTGAGCCCCAGTCAGGTGACGGCCTCTCCCAACCCCCATCAAAGCGCACCTTCCTTTGCATTAGAATCGGCTGTTTACTCCGTCTGTCTCCCCCACCGGCCTGAAGCCCCGCGCTGGGGACCCGGCTGCTGTGCTCGGGCTGCACCCGCGGCTCCGGGGCAGCGCTTGGCTCCTGGCTCCTGGCGGGCGCTCAGTAAACATTTGCCAAGCGCAGGAACCGGTGCATTTTTGCTACATGGTGCCAGATTGCTTTGCAAAAAGCCTGTAGCATTTCACACGGCCAGCAGCCACGGGAGGATGGCGATTTCCTCGCATCCTCCCAGCAATGTGTATTGCCCCCTGCTTGATGCCAGGCTCTTCGCCAGGCGCCAGCCGACAGAGGAAATTTCCGTTCTCTCCCAAGCCCCAGGCCAAGGCAGGTTTGGCGAAGGTCAGGTGTTCAGGAAAGGCGGCGCGCGGCGCCAGGGGGCGCTAGACGAGCTCAGACGCGGGCCTCAGGCCGCGTCGCGCAGCGCCGCGCTGGGGTCCCGCCTCCCGGGGGCTCCCTGCGTCTGGCGTAGCGCTCGGTCCGACAGGAGGCCGCGGGGTCTCGAGGCGCAGGGATCGTAGCAAGACTTGGGAGATGCTAGCCCCGGGCACCCAACGCCACGCGGCACGAGCCCCGCCCGCGCCCGGCGCACCTGCTTGGGGCGTGGCCTCCGGGCGGAGGAACGCCTGTGACTGGTGCAGCCTTGACAAAAGGGCGTGGCTTCCCTGGTCCCACCCTACGCAGCAAGCTACTTAAAGGAGGTGGCGGCCCCTTTTGACTTACGCCGCTTATACGCGAACTCGTGAGCAGAGTTCCTTGTGGCTCGGCATCCCGGGTGCCTCAGACATCATGCCGCGCTCTTTCCTCGTCAGGAAGCCCACTGACCCCAACCGCAAGCCCAACTACAGCGAGCTGCAAGATTCCTCTCCGGGTGAGTGGAGGGTGTTGGGCACCGGGAGATACGAGTTAAGACTGCGTTGGGAGGACCTCCGGGGGGCCGGGCCGGGGACCAAATCGAGCTGAAGTTCTACCCGGAGAGAGGAGGCGGGACCCCAGAGACGCGGAGCAGGTGGCTCACTGTCCCGCGTCTTAGAGGTTGGGGGAGGACTATGTAGTTGCAGTGAGTCCCTGGCTGTTGTGAGACAAGCAGCTCGGCGAGTGTAGACGGGAAAGGAGGCTCGTGCCAGGAGAGCCCGCGGTCGGTGGCTGTTAAAGAGTCCGGAGTCCAGAGGGCTGGGGGAGGGGTGCGAGCCGGGCATGAGTCGGGGGAGGCTCAGCTGAGAACACTGGGGGCTAGGGTGGCAGGGGTAACGCCTCTGGCTGAGGGCTGGGTGACTCCGGAAGGCGGAGGCCTGCAAAAGACCGGGCGAGTTGGCCTGGGACCTGAAGGGTCCTTGTAAGAGACTCAGATCGGTGACCTGGGCGAGGAGGAACCTGGTCTGACCTCTCAGAAGTCTACTAATCTGTCAAGTATTGAATGCCAGCCCCCACTCAGCCCCCAGCCCTCCTCAATGGAGTAGTGTTTGTTGACTGAAAGATTTTAATGAACGTCTGACCCTGTCCTTTCTGTGTCTCAGAGCTTACCTTCCAGCAGCCCTATGACCAGGCCCACCTGCTAGCAGCCATCCCGCCCCCGGAGGTGCTCAACCCCACAGCCTCTCTGCCCACGCTCATCTGGGATTCTGTCCTGGTGCCTCTGACTCAGCCCCTCCGCCCGGCCTCCCTGCAGCCGCTCCACCCGGCCTCTCTGCAGCCCCAGGAGAGCCCGAGCCCCAAGGCAGCAGAGCTGACTTCGCTGTCTGATGAGGACAGTGGGAAAGGCTCCCAGCCTCCCAGCCCACCCTCGCCAGCTCCTTCATCCTTCTCCTCCGCCTCGACCTCTTCCCTGGAGGCCGAGGCCTGTGCTGCTTTCCCAGGCCTGGGCCAACTGCCCAAGCAGCTGGCTGGGCTCTCTATGGCCAAGGACCTCCAGTGTCGCAAGGCCTTCAACTGCAAATACTGCAACAAGGAATACCTCAGCCTGGGCGCCCTCAAGATGCACATCCGGAGCCACACCCTGCCCTGTGTCTGTGCCACCTGCGGGAAGGCTTTCTCCCGGCCCTGGCTGCTGCAGGGCCACGTCCGGACCCACACCGGTGAGTGTTCTGTTCCCTGGTGCTGCCACCAGCACCGGGCATTCTGGTCTTTCTCATGTTCTGCTCTTCCAAGTTGTGGGACACAGGGGCTCCAAGTCCCTTTCTAGTTCAGGTTCAGGTCCTGGTCCTTTCAGAATGTGTGGCAGGAGCATTCATTCCTTCATCTGCTAAGCAGATGCCAAACACCATAGCTGGTTCCTGAAGCTCCACAGTTCCACAGCCAAATGCTGTGGATGGAGGGCTAGGTAAAGTGCAGCCCACACTTCGCTGCTCTGGCCAGGTGTAAGAAGACCCTGCCCGCTCCACCTCCCTCAGCCCCTTCCCAGCCTCCCAGGGTGTCAGAGGGGCAGCTTTGAGACCATAAGACCTCAGGCGGTGTTTCCTCCAAGTCTGTTTTCCCATCTCTATGATGGGCATGAGAACACCTGCTGGAGTTTCTGGGTAAGTTCAGTAAAAGACTTGCTTGAAAACCTCAGGGCGAAGTGCTGGGTGTAGCCGAGTGTGGTGGCACACACCTGTAATCCCAGTACGAGCTTGAGGCAGGAGCATCCCCTGGAGTTGGAGGCCATCCTGGGCTACCTAGTGAGCTCAAGGTCAGCTTGGACTACAGACGAGACCCTGTCTCAAAAACGAAACAAAACCAAGCAGAAAAACAAAAAACAAGTGTGCTTGATACTTGGTGGTGAACTCAGAAGTGGTAGTAGGAAGTAGTTGCTGTGCAGCTATGTTCTGCGGCCTTGCGTACCTTCTCAGAGTCTCAGGGGATTATGGTATTGCATGCTTTATAGGCTGAGCCTGAAAAGTCATAGTCCCTTTATGATAATTTCTTGTGGCCTTGAGCTTCTCAGAGCTGCTTTCCCCAGCACCACCCAGGTCTGTTGTGCAGACCGGGAATGATTTTGCTGGCAAGAAACACAGCTGCATCATCTAAAGGGTTGCAAAAAAACCAAACAAACAAACAAAAAAAACCAATGCAGTGCTAAGTGTGCTGGAGGGTTTTCCCGCCTTGAGGCTGATCCAGGAGAACAGCTTGTGGGAGGTGGCCCAAGGGTTGGGCTGCTTGCCAGGTTGGATCCAGAGGTCTGCTGTTTCCTATCCCATTGGCTGGCCTTGGAGGGTCTTCGTGAGGCTGGCATTTTGCAGGCCTTGTAGGGCCCTCACTACTCGCCCACAGCTCTGTGTTTCTCTGCACAGGGCCTGGCTTTCTCCTCCCTTCCCGCCCCAGCCTTTGGAGCGATGTGAAACCCTCAGGACGCTCTGGGGGACCCCAGCCTCTGCCCGCCCCTCCCAGGACATTATTTTAATGTAAAGGCACGGCTCAGACACAAAACCCTGTTGAAATGCACCCTGACTGTCCCCATTGACGCCCATTGTGTGCTTTAATGGTGGGCCCAGTGGGTGGGGGTGGGGAGGTGCAGAGCAGGTGCATGGGGCAGTGGTGCCCAGCACCTGTTTCGGCCGCAGCTGCTGGGCTGCAGCGTGCAGGGCCCTTTAATCCTGGGGGTATCACATGTACAGTGCTCCCCTCAGCGGCCTTTGTCCCCGCCGCCCTGGTGCCGATTTCACACTTGCCATGAGTACCATAAAGGCGTCTGGGGGTGAGAGACGGGGGGGGGTGGGGGCGGGGGGGGGTGGGGTGTCCCCCTCTGCACACCACACCGCCACGGCCTCAAGGGTCTCCTTCCTCTTTGTCCACTTTCATGCCCAGGCATGTTGTGAGCTCGACTGGGGGGGGTGCCCCTGTTACCCCCCCCCCCCCCCGCCTCACAGATGGCTCCATCCTCTTCCCGAGCCCTTGTGGTCCCCCTGCATTCATGGGGGGCTGTGGACGAGGAGGAGCTGGGGCCTGGAGGAAGGGCCCCACAGGGCAGGGGGTTGGTGACCTTCCCTCAGGCCCTTAGTGGGCTCCTGCCCCGATCGATTGAGGTGATTTCCTGGTCTGCACCTGTGCCCACCCCAGAGGCTCAATAGGGTCCTACCGAATGGTGGCTGGGTTGGCTCCTCACGGTACCCTCAGGGGCCGGACCTCATCATCAGTTCTTGAGCACCCATGCTGGGACTTAGCAGGTGGCCTGGTCTATGACATAGGCTGAGGCAGGGAGGCTGCTCTTTGAAGGATATTGTTTTCTTTTTGAGACAGGGTCTCTATGTAGTTCAGGCTGACCTTGACCTGACTTTGTAGTCCAGGCTGGTCTCAAACTCAACAATGATCCACCTGCCTCGGCCTCCCTAATGCAGGCATGCACCACCACACCCAGAAATTCGGTATTCTAGAGCTTGGCATGTGGCAGGAGCTCTCCTATAGATGTTTGACTTACTGTTTATGACCTATTTTTGGAAAATGTGTGTCCCTGAGAAAAACATTGTCACTGTTTTTAGGAGAACTGTGACTGAGGAATGAGCCTTCTCTGAGACCTTGCTTGTTTGGGGGGTTTTCGAGACAGGTTTCTATGCATTTCAGGCTGGCCTCTAACTCCCAAGGATCCTCCGGGCTCAGCCTCCCTGGGATTACAGGTGTGTGACACCATGCCCAGCGTTGAGACAGGCTCTTTCTTACTATGTACTTCAGGCTGGCCTTGAACTCACTATGTAGCCAAGTCTGGCCTTGAATTTACCTGTTTCAGCCTCCAGAGTGCTGGGATTACAGGCATGTGCCACCACGCCTAGCTTTTTTGTTTGTTTGTGTTTTTTTGGGAGTCTGGATTTTTTGAGACAGTCTGGTTATTCAGCCCAGGCTGGCCTCAAACCCTTTGTGATTCTCCTGCCTCAGCCTCCCAGGTGTGGAGACTATAGGCATGCACCACTTCTGGCTTAGGCCTTGTTGTTTAAAAAAGCAGATTTGAAAAAAAAATTAAAAAGCAGATTTGTTCATTTTTTTTTTTGGCACTTATTGGGCACTTACTGTATACTTTACCCCACACACAAGACTTCCTCACATTGCACGACCAGGCAGATGTGTCAGGTCTGCAAGTTTCTGTGGCCCCTTGGGGGTCCTGGGGCTGGGGTTGGAATGGGCTCAGAGGCTCCTGGCGCTGTGCGACTCATCTCTGATAGGGACAGGAGATGTGGGATTTGGTGCTGCAGGCCTTGTTCCTGGGGCAGCTGGCCTTTGGCGGGGCTCAGAGGAGTGGTCTAACCTGCTCCAGTGGGGGCAGGGAGACCTTAAAGACTGACTCTTAAGCTTTGTCTCCAAAGTAAATCTGGGAATGACTCCAGGGCTGATAAGAGGAAGGCCAGCCACAGCCTCCCTTGACCAGGAGGAGGCCCTTGTCTGCTGGTTAAAGTCAAGGGCTTGGGAGTCCTGCTGGGTGACCTGAAAGAACGCGCCCCTTCAGTTCTGTGCCTCCCTTTGCTGGCTCAAATAAGACACAGAAGGGCCCAGGGTATGGCTCAGTGGCACAGCGCCTGCCTGGCAAGAGCAAGACCCATGAGTCTGATTCCTGGTACCCTCCGACCCAAAAAAAAGACCACAGAAGCAAATGACAGCTAGGCATGGTGGTGCATGCCTGTCATCCCAGCACTCATGGAGGCTGAGGCAGGTGGACCATTGGGAGTTCAAGACCAGCCTAGACTACAAAGTGAGTTCAAGGCCAGCCTGAACTGCATAGCGAGACCCTGTCTCAAAAAGACAAAAAAAAAAAAAAAAAAAAAAAAGCAAATGACAGTAGTAGCGTTGCTCCCTGAGCACCTCCCCTGTGGCCACATCTTTCTTCCTCTCCAGCCACACTGCTCTGCGTGGGGTGGGACAGCCCCGGGTCACAGGCAAGGAAGCAGCTGGCTCCCAGAGTCAGCATCCGGCCTTGGGCACAGTCTGTGTTTAGTAGGATGGAGGCTTTCGGGAGGGGGTGGGGGAGGCTGGCACCACAGGGAGTGCCACTACCCACCAGGCCTCACTTCCTGTCTTCTTGCCCCCAGGAGAGAAGCCCTTCTCCTGCTCCCACTGCAGCCGCGCCTTTGCCGACCGCTCCAACCTGCGAGCCCACCTGCAGACCCACTCGGACGTGAAGAAGTACCGCTGCAAGACGTGCTCCCGCACCTTCTCCCGCATGTCCCTGCTGCACAAGCACCAGGAATCCGGCTGTTCGGGGGGTCCCCACTGACCTCCCACCTCCCGGCACTCCCCACTGCCCCCCAATTCCAGAAGGAAGGAGCCCATCCTCCTGCTCCCATGGGACTCCCTTCCGAAAACCAATAGGCTACATCCGGCATACACTCAGGACTTTGGTGAAGCCGCCTTCTGATCTGTTCTCTCCACTTAGGGGCCTAAGGGGGGCACCGAGAAGCATTCGGTGCCCGCTGCCTGTGTCCTCCTCCTGGCGGCCGTGTGGGGCGCAACAGGAGCATTCTTGTGCAGGCCTCTGTGGCTTGTGTATCCAGAGCTGTTTGGATACAGCAGCTTTTCATTGCTGGACAGAAGCTGACTGCCTGCCTGCCTGGGAGCTCCCAGCCCACTCAGGGGACCCCACACCCCTACCTCCATCTTCCCCAAGGAGCCCTCAGGCCACCTTCCTCAAGGTGTGACTGACTATGCAATAGCCCACTCCGGGTGCGTCCTCCGCCTCTGGGGCAGTTTCGGGACACGAGGACAGACGTGTCTAGACCTCCAGATGCCCCTGGGCCTGGGCAGCTATTTCAGCCTGTTTGTCATGGTGACACCTGTCTCATGGGCAATTTAACAGTGTCTCAAAAGGGACTGTGAGTAATGGCCATCACTTGTCAGGGGCCAAGTGGGGGTACTTCAGCCTGACCAATGTGTCTCCCAGAACTATTTTGGGGGCCCAACAGGTGGGCCTGGGAGGAAGATGTTTACATTTTTAAAGGTACACTGGTATTTATATTTCAAGCAACATTTTCTATAAGGGAACATTTTGTATAGCTATATGTACAGTTTATTGATATTCAATAAAGTGTTAATTTATTATGAAGTCTGCACCTGGTCTTGTGGGATGGGTTTTTCCTTTTGTTGTCACAGCAACCATACCCAGCTCTTTAAAATATTTTTTGATTTTGAGGGGTTTTTTTGTTTTGGTGGTATCAGGGATCAAACTCAGATTGAGTTAGGTTTTACAGTGCCTGCCTTAGCCTCACGGGGTGACTAGGGATAGGTATTTTAGAAGGCATTTGGGAATGGAGGAAGGGGCCAGCATTCCTGGAGCTTAGATATTTCCGAGTATCTTGTCCTTGGAAACATCCTGTGGGCCTGGAGTCCTGAGTGACTAGAGGGTTCTGGCCTCAGTGTCTGGTGCTTCGGCCCTGTGGGCAAGCCCTGCTCCCGTACAAGCTCCCTGCAACTCGCACTCCAGCTGGCTTCCTGGGTCTCATCAACTAGATAGCTGGGGTGGCTGGCCCGGCACTGCAGCTCTGTGGGGCGGGGTTGGCAGCCCCAGCCGAAGGAGAGGATGTCCTTCCTGTTCCCAAGGGCTCTGGGGCGGCCTCCCTGTCAGGCGGGCCCACACCTCTGTCTGGCTGCTGGGTACCAAATGGCCTTTGATGCAAGGAAATTGGCTGGCTGGAGCCAGGAGGGTGAGAAGCCAGGCCAAAGGGTAGGGGTCATTCAACTTCCTCCTCAAGGATGGGAGGACCCCCAGCTTGTGCCTAGGTGGGGGCAATTCACTCCCGGCTGCCGAGGCTGGCACGGTGGTGGTGACCTCACCTCTGGGGCCTCCTGGGGCCGGGAGAAAATGAGCGTCCTGTCTGAGCACAAAAGGTGCCGAGGTGCCAGTTTCCTGCGGGCTGCCGAGCCGGGTCCCATCGCAGCCCGAGTCAGGCTGGGGGGAGTCCGTGTTCCAAAGGAGAGATGATTCTTTCTTCTAAACAGGAAATGGTGACCCGCAGGCCGGGAGCAGCCCTTAATGACTTGCAGCTTTCCTCCCAAAAGGAAAAAAAAGTTCTCTAACAATCGCCAAATTGTGGCTGGCCTCCCTGAAGGGAAGTTAGGGAACTGGTGGGGGCTGGGCAGTGGCTGGCTGAAGGCCTACTGTGTCCCAGTCCCTGTCGTCTTTGCGTCTTTGTGGCATCCACCATAGTAGGTGCTGACAGTGGCAAGCGAGTGACTTCACCTTCCTTGAGGCATGGGCCTCTGGGCAAGCAGGCTCGCCTGAGGTCATCAGTGCCTGGGCTTGGGTCTACCTTGCCGGCCAGGCCCTGGTCCCGGAGTCACGAGGCTGTCCCCTTCCCGCAGCTGCCCCTGCCTGTGTGAAATGGGTGGCAGCAGGGTCTTCCTCCTGGGACACAAGAGGGAACGTCCACGCCCCAGGCTTTTTGCTGAGATCTGGGCCTGGCCCTGTTCTTGGACCTGCAGCGAGGGCAGCCAGGCCCCTCGCTCTGGTTGGGAAGCCAGTAAACCAACAGCAAGCAAATAAACAAGCCACTCTCCCCGCCACCTTCCCAGGAGGGGAAGAGAGGCCAAGGCTGCAGGGAGGTGCAGGCAGACTACAATCCAGGCTGAGGCTGGAGGCCGACATTCCTCTGCGGCCAAGGGGGCAGCCACCTGGGACCAGGGAGGAGAGAACAAGGCCAGGTTGGATGGAACTACCTCCCCTTGGGCCCCATGGGGGTGCGATGCCAGCTGGCTTCACCCTGGGTACAAAGGGTCCCCAGCCACTGGGAGAGATGAGGGGAGGGGGCACCCACAAGTGACAGAGTCTAGCCCAGGGCTGCAGTTCCTGGGATGGACCATGGACTGGAGCCCACACAGCCTGGCCCAGAGCTGCCACCCTGAGCATTTGGGAGGGTTGCGCATGGCCCCTGGCACAGGGCTGGGCGGGAAGAGACCGGGGAACCAGGAGGGAGGGAGAAGGTAGGACAGGTGTGTATCCCAGCAGACACTTGGAGGCCTAGGACAGAGGGTTCCCTAGTGGGGTGGGGGGTTTCCAGGAGATAAAGGCAGGGCAAAGGAGACAGGTGGGAAGGAGGACGGAGGATTTAATTTTACAATTCTTGGTTTTTTTGAGACTAGGGTCTCACTAGCTAATTTGGGCTAGACTTGAGCTCATTGTGTGGCCCAGGCCAGCCTCAAACTTATGAAAATCCTGCTTTGGCCTCCTGAGTGCTGAGAGTACAGGTATGCACTACCACACCAGCTTTTTTTTTTTTCTTCATACGAGGGATGGAACTCAGGACCTTATGCTTTCCAGGCAGGTGCTTAAGCCACTAATCTTCCTGGCCCTCCAGCTATTTTTATACTTCTTAAAAATTCTGTCTCTTACCGGGGAGATAGCTGAGTGGAATAAGTGCTTGCCTGGCAAGCTCAAGGTCCTGAGTTTGATCCCTGGTACCACACACAAAAAAAGAATAAATAAATAAAAATCTGTCTCTAGGCAGGGTGTGGTGGCACAGACCTCTAATCCCAGCCTTGGGAAGGCTGAGGCAGGACGATCATTGTATGTTCAAGAGCCCCAGTAACTCAGTAGAATAAGCACTTGCCTGGCAAGCACAAGGCCCTGAGTTCAATCCCCAGTTCCACAAAAAGATCAGCCCAGGCTACGAGCTCATGTCCAGATAGAACTGCAAAGCAAGACCCTGTCTCAAAAAAAAAAAAAAAAAAAAAAAAAAAAAAAAAAAAAAAGTCTCTTTTCCCTTCCTTCTTTCCTAGCTTTTGTCTCTCTCTTCCTTTCTCCCCCTTTCTGTCTCTTTCAGTGTGAGGCAGAATTGCACTGAGTTATCCAGACTGGCCTCAAAACTCACAATCCTCTTATCTTAGTCTCCGGAGTAGCTGGGTTTGTGGTGTATGGTGCTATACCTGGGTTGTAAGCCCCCCCCTTCTCTTCTGGTGGAACCAGCAATTGAACTCAGGCCCTTGCACTTGCCAGGTAAGCGCTTATTCTACTGAGCTATGTTCCCAGCCCCCTACTGTTTATTTCAAAATAAAACTATTTATTGAAATAGTTTTCACCTGCCAAGAATTGTAATAGCTAGGCGCAGTGGGCACTGGGGAGGCTGAAAACAGGAGGATCACTACGAGTCCGAGCTGTATAGTGAGACCCTGTACCAAACACATAAATGGAAAAAAAAAAAAAAAAATCAACCTGGGCCCTTCATTCAGATTCTTCCATTTGGCAACATTTTATTACCCATATGCTTGCATGTTGTTCACTGTTTCTGAAATATTTGAGAATAAGTTAGAGATACAATATCCTTTATTGCTAGATATCTTTTTCTTTTTCATGGTTTTGTTTTGTTTTCCTCAGTACTGGGGTTGAATCCAGGGCCTTGCACATGGTAATGAACTCTAACCCTGAATTCCCTCCCAGCATTTTACTGCTAATTATTTTTGCATGTTTTTCTTTTTTTCCCTTTTTGCTTTTGTTTTTTGAGACAGGGGCTCGCTTGTATATAATTCAGGCTGGCTTCAAATTTACCATGATCCTCCTGCCTCAGCCTCCTGAGTGTTGGGATTATAGGTGTGCCCCATCACACCCAGCTTTGCATGTATTTTCTGCTTGGTTTTTTGGTTTGTTTTTATTTTGTTTTGTTTTTTAGTCTTTTGAGTGGGTGGTCTCATTATGTAGTAGAGGCTGGTGACTTTCCTGCTTCAGCCTCCCAAGTGGAGGGATTATAGGTGTGCGCCACCACGCCCAGCTGTGTGCACATTTTCTAAGGCAGAGTATTTTCTCTGAAGCAGGTTGGTGCAGAGCTCTCTGGCGCATGGATCCGTCTTCCTGACAGCTCTGCAGCCTCTCAGGGGAGGGGGCAGAGAGCTGAGGACCCCACAGGGCATTTTCTTGCCCTGGCTCTTTAGTTCTTCATTCCAGGGCAGCCCTTCAGCCCTGACTCCCCCCACCCCAGTACCTAGGACCTTTGCGCTGAGCTACATGAATCCTGCTGCTTCAGCCTTCCAGAGCTGGGGATGGAGGCCTGGACGCCGCACCCAGCTGCCTCTGACTTTTCTGGCGAGCACAGCACAGCTGTTTCGTGGAATGTCCCTCTGCCTGTTCCTTGATGTTCTGTTGTGGCTGGGTTTGGGCTGCGCATGCGTGGCGGAGGCCGAGGCAGCTGTGTCTTTCCCAGAGTGCATTGTCCTGAGGCGCCTGAGCTCAGCGTCCTGTCCCTGGCGTCTGCCCTGACCCCTGATCAGGGGCTGCGGACAGGTTCCCCTGGGAAGCTCATCCTACCTCTGCTTACGCCACGCCTATGGGAGGTCCCTGAAGACCTAATGACAGTCTCGAAGGTCCTTGGCCGCCAGGTGGGGTGTCACACGCCTGTGAATCAGCACGCTCTCTGGGAGGCTGAGGCAGGAGGACTGCGGCAAGCCTGAGCCCAGCTTGGCCAGTTTAGTGCCTTAGCAAGAATAAAAAGCCCTAGGGCTGGTGAGATGGCTCAGTGGTCTAAAGCACCTACTTAGAACAAGCTAAGCTTAGCAAAGCACAGAGACCGCGGTTCAATCCCCCAGCAC